TTGTATCTATCCTCTGGATCTCTAGGCACTATAGTATCAACTATCCTCTCCCCTCTCCAATGGTTTCCTCCTATCAAGATTTAAACCTATTCAAATCTCTTCAATCTCAAACACACACACACACTGAACCAGAAGTTCTTTTCTAACTATTCCCTTGAATGTCTCTTCTTCCTCTCACTGCTAAACTAAAGAATTACCAACACTATGTCCATTTCTTTCTTTCTTTTTTTAAAGTTTATATATTTTTTTGAGAAAGACAGACACAGTGTGAACAGGGGAGGAATAGAAAGAAAGGGAGAGAGAGAATCCCAAGCAGGCTTCACATTGTCAGCACAGAGCCTAATGTGGAGCTTGAACCCACAGAACTGTGAGATCATGACCTGAGCCGAAACCAAGAGTCAGCTGTTTGAGCCACACAAGCGCCCCAACACTATCCCATTTCTTTACCTCTCACCTGTTCCTACACAACCCTAAACTGACTTCTGCTTCACTAAACTTCTCTAGTGAAGGTAACCAATCTCTGTCACTAAATCTAATGTTCATTTTAAGTCCTATCTGGTTTGATCCCTCAACAGTATTCCAAACTGTTGATATCCTCCTTCTTAAACTCTATCTTGATGTCATTATACTGCATTTTCTGCTCTCATCAGATTCTCTGACAATTCCACAAGCTCCTTTGCTAATTAATTCCTCCCCTTACTCAATGTTAACCTTCACACTGCATGTCTTCAGGAATCTGTTTTGCCTTCTCACCTCACTCTCAAATCTCCCTCTGGGTATTGTCATCCATTTTTCTAGATTCAAACACCAAGCTTCAGGGTTATCACTCTCAAATCTAGATCTCCAGCCCAGAGGTCTCTCTTTAATTCCAAAATCATATATTCGAATGCCTAACATCTCCAAATAGGTGCCCTACAGGTACCTCAAACTCACTGGATCCAAAACTAACTTCCTCTTATTCCTCCACAAATATGTTCCTTTTCTGAGTTTCTTACCTCAGAAAATGGGGCCTCACCATCCATCCAATTGCTCAGTTGAAAAGCTGGGTGTCATCTGTGAGACTCTCTTTCATTCCCTACAGTGTTATTACCAAGTGTGATGACTGTACCTACTAACGAACAAGTTAATCCCTTTCTCCACCACCACTCAATCTCCCTACTCCAACCCCTGCTAACAGTTCCCTTTCTCAAGCATACATTTCTGCTTAAAATACTACTCTGCTTAAACGTCTTTAGTAGCTCCCTATTGACTGTAGGATAAAATTGAAAGTTCTTATGATAATCATAACCACAACTATTAGTTGGTGCCTACCATGCGGTAAAATCATGCTAGTTTTAATCCTTAACAACTTTATAAGACCTGTATAGTTAGTTCTTCTTTTAGAGATAAAAAGCAAATATAAGGAAGTTAAGAATCTGATCTTACCATCAAAGTTTTGGGTGGCGTAGCCAGGTTCTAAACTAAGGTCTTTTTCCAAAGTCCATACTCTCAATTACCAAACCAAACCAAACTGCCATTCAATCTCTTTCACAATGCAACTCCATTTCACTTTTATGGCCTGATTTCCAGTCACTCTATTCTTTCCCACATTCTCTATTCCAGCCTCCTCATAAGCCATTTCTTTCAAGTAAACATCCTATTCCCCCAGTTCTAATCTTTGCTATCTGTTCTTCCCTTTTCCTGAAATACCCTTCATCCATTCTTTGTCCAATAGGCAAATTCTTACTAGTTTTTCAAGGCCTGGCTGAAGGGCACCATCTTTCAAAAGCCTATTCTAACAGCCGTGGACAGAATTAGTTGTTCTTTTCTGAGTTCCCAAAGGATTTTATGCAGTACTTCCATTATAGCACTTGTCTAGCATAGAATACATTTGTTCACAAAGTACTAACACTAGTGTAAGAAGCTCAAGGACAGGGATTACATTTTATACTTCAATGTATTCCTAGTGCCTACTACAGAATCTACCATAATTGTTAAATAAACTAATCAACTTTTGGGAAGACTATGCAACTGTCAGATGTCACTAAAATGATAAAAGTACAGTTTAGAGAGATCAAGTGACTTTCTATAGGGTACATAATACGTAGCATGACAGAGAGTGAACAAGAAGTCTTATGATTATGACTCTAGGGTTCCTTCCACATTTAGTGTTCTGGGCATTCCAGTTTAGGCAACATTTTATAATAAAGATGTGCTTTTGAGTATGCTGCAACTGTTGTTATAATCTTCATCCAGACATGCTTTGTTTTTACACTGGCATATAGGGGATCTAATTTTATACCATTTGTATTCTTCAGGAATGCCTAGTATAATGCCCAGTACAGATCATTCAGTAAAAGTTTGATACTAAAATCAATTTATTTGAGGGGCACCTGGCTGGCTCAGTCAAAAAAGCATGCAACGCTTGGTCTCAGGGCCATGAGTTTGAGCCCCACACTAAGTGCAGAGATTACTTTAAAAATAAAAAATAAAAGCATATTAAAAAATAAAATAAAATCTATTTATTTGAAGGTAAAAATCATTTACAGGAGAGTAAACCCAGCACTATCAATTTAAAATACATACTTTATCATTTTCAAGCAATTTTATTCTACTGTCAATATCCAACTGTTTTCTAGTACAACTCTTCTCCTAAACCCACTAAAAACCAACCCCAGGACTCAGGGAAGAAGAGTCAACTAAGAGTTAAATGTTGAATATGGGTCAAGCACTATACTAAGCATTTTCAAACAGTATCCCAGCAGGAGATACAGGACCCAGAACTCAGTATAAATGATGTACACAAAATCCTAACACCTGTAAATCAGCCTCACTAGTCCAAACATAATTCATCTATAAAGTATAAGAGAGGGGTGCCTGGGTGGCTCAGTCGGTTAAGCGTCCGACTTCGGTTCAGCTCATGATCTCATGGTTCATGAGTTTGCTTTGTACTGACAGCTCAGAGCCTGGAACCTGCTTCACATTCTGTGTCTCCCTCTCTGCCTCTAACCCACTTGCGCTCTCTCTCTCTCTCTCTCTCTCTCTCTCTCTCTCTGTCAAAAAGAAAGATTAAAAAAAAATTTTTTTAAATAAAGTGTAAGAGAAAAATCCATTATAATCCTTCATTGTTCATTATGTATTTTATAGTTAAAATTGAAGAGAGGTATCATAAGGTATGTTCCCTAAAATCTCATTTTCTATCAATATTAAACATAGTTGCACTATAGTTAATAATCTATAAATTAATTAAGCAATATTTTAATCTTTTAAATTTTTTTAATGTTTTTATTTATTTTTGAGACAGAGAGAGACAGATCATGAGCAGGGGAGGGGCAGAGAGAGAGGGAGGCACAGAATCCAAAGCAGGCTCCAGGCTCTGAGCTGTCAGCACAGAGCCCTACGCGGGGCTCAAACTCATGGACTGTGAGATCATGACCCGAGCTGAAGTCGGACGCCCAACTGACTGAGCCACCCAGGTGCCCCAAGCAATATTTTAATCTTAAATAATAATCCTTATTAGAGAGAAAGACCAATTAGTAATTATAAATTATACAATATTTAAAAATAAGACATAGAAGATAATAAAAAACTAAAAAAACAAAAGTCCATTAAGCACTATAAACTAATAGCAAGCAAAATACTGGCAAGTAGTTGGTTCCACAATTCTAAAAAACAGATAAGGATTGTTAAAATGGGCATATTTGAATTTATAAATGATTAATAGTAGTAACATATACTTTTTTTATGAAGGTTAAATTTCTTCTGAAATGCAAACCATTTTCTTCTTTGATAGAAAAATAAATGTTACCCCAATATGCTCTGAATATATCAGGATTCAGTTTAATAAAATGTTAATATAGCTATGTCTTAAAATAATAAGATCCATCCATTAGCACAACTTTCAAAGACTTCTAGGCTGAACTACTTTCAGAGGGAGAGACCTGTATTTGTTTACTTACTCTGTTATTTTCCAGAACTTTAATAGAACTACATCACACTGCAATAACTTCTGAAGTACAGCAGTAGAGTACTATTTGTACAGTACAACACAATAGGTAGACAACCTATTATATACCTTCTAGAAATGAAAACGAAGGCATATATTCATAAAATTATATTTATAATTATAGAAATACCGAGGCAATTAATGACCAGGGTTATTTAGGATCCTTTTGTATCAAGAACATATAAAACATTTAGTAGAAGGAAAAATCAGAAGAAAAAGGAAAAACATTTTAAAGGGATGCTATCATGGTACTTATGAAAGTGTTTTTAAAAGAAAACAAAGAGAAAAGGAAATATAGGTCAAATATACCTAAATGAAAAATAAGACAAAGGCAGTTGCCTAATTAAAGTGTTTGATTAACTAATAAACTTCTAAAAGCTTAGTTGTATTCCATTTGCAAAGACAAACTACACTGCAGAACAACTATATTTCCACTTGTAAAATTTTAAAAATAGAATCCAGCTGCAAAAGGAAAAAGTATTAGTTCTATCTATTCTTTGTGAAGAGTTTTACATAAAATGTCATAGAAAATGTATTTTCTTTTTAAAGCTAGATCCAACAAATGAACCAGAAGGTCTCTGAAAGCAGCCAAAAGAAAACTTGAAAAACTCTATATGGATTTTGTAAAAATATGGTAGAGACTTTGTTTTGTTTTACGTTAGGTATAAGCATAGCTTAAAGGCAAGGAAAAAAACTAAGACTCTGTCCACATCCTTATACATGGTCTCCTTTCTAAATGAAAAGGGCAGCATGCAAAAAAAAGCTGAATGTAAAAGGTTCGCTGCTCCCCCCATTGCCTAGCACAGTACAGGGTAGAAGATGAATGAATGTCTTAATTGAATGGCTGACCACTTTGGGTACACACTACCATTCTCTATTAGTATAATATACACATATACACATACATATACATTTATGGATGCATGTTAACATATATACATTATTCACTTATCCATTATTTTAACTTTTACCTAAGCAAAATTTTCAAAAGAACAAAAAACATATATCCACCTACCTTAGATTTGTCTTAATATATTTTTTCCTGCCACATTTGCTCATTATTAAGACATTTGTAATCAATGCTTTGTTCCTTCCCCGTTTTCTTCTTTATTTATCCTGCAGAAAAATTATGATGTTGAATTGGGAGATCATAACATTTTATTTTTTAAAAAAAGTCTCTCAAAACGATAACAGAATACCCGTGAATATCCTAATTTCTATAAAACTGAAAAAAAAGAATAGAAAGCTGAAAACAAGTGTGTATTTTTTTTTCAATCTCACTTCTATGCAATTTTGTTCTAGGAAAAAAATTTAAAACATAAATCATGAGCTATTTATCAGGTTATTTTCTACCAAAGAGAAAGTAGTGTTGTCTAAATCATTTAATACATGCTACATATAGTTCATGGAATCAGCTATATTTTAATAATCACTTAATAAATGGAGTGAATTTATCATTTACTTAAATTTCATTCCACTGCAACAAATTTGTCAACCATTTTTTATTTACCTTAAATTTAACACTGGCTTTTTTTTTTTAAGTTTATTTATTTTGAGAGAGTGAGAGAGCACGCACATGCGCTCATGAGCCGGATAGAGGGAGAAAGAGAGAATCCCAAGCAGGCTATACACTGTCAGCATAGAGCCCAATGAGGTGCTCTATCTCATGAACTGTGAGATCATGACCTGAGTGGAAATCAAGAGTCAGACACAACCAACTGAGCCACCCAGATGCCCGTCAAAATTGGCTTTTGTCAAAGAATTTTAACTCTAAGTAAAATATTACCAGTTCCTTTAAAATCTCCTCCACTAGCCTTCAATCCATTTAAAAAGTTGTTTTAGACACTCTACCAATTAAAACCCATTTTTTGTTACTAATATCCTTTAAAAATATGAAGTAAAACTGGCAAAGAAAAAGACAAAGGAATTGGGAGCGCTTATTTTAGAAGTGGAAAAGACAAATGTCCACAGCCCTAAGTATCTTCTAGGCATCTTCAACAGCAATGGTTGTGCTTAGCTACAGACATACTGCTTTCAGGGTTCCCTCCTAAGTGGCCCCCTCTAAAATGGTGTCCTTTTAAAACTGAGTGGGCAGGTTGGCCTAAGGGCACTAGGGCAATGGTTATGGCTACCATCTGTCCCCCATCTCCCAGCATAGGGACAACAGGAGATGGTCATTTGAACCAGGCTGCTTACAACATGAACAAAAAGCGAGGATGGCGCTGTCCTTTGGATTAAATCTTATTCTGCTATACTCTACTGTCGTTTTACATGGGGACATCTTAACCTTCCATAAAAATTGTGTAACCTAAAGGCAGGGACCATTTATTTATTAAACAGTGATTGGCACCCATGATATGCCAGACCATTCAAATGATAAAATGTCCCCACTCTCCAGGAGATTGCATTTTAATGAGGGAGACAGACATTTAAACAAAGAATACTAATAACATTATTTGAATAATAAAGAGAGAGAGAAGTAAACTACTAATTTCTATCTTTCTCTTGGAAATACCATTTTCTTTGTTTAATTTCTGACTTAGTAATAAATTCTTATGGTTCAGAATTCAAAAAGTAGCAAAAGGTATTCACTAAAGTCCAGGAACAGCCACCCACTTGCTCTTCCCAGGGGCAATCAGCATTGAATAAAGTACAAGCTTCGGCCACCACAGATATCAAGAGAAAATGAGAAAATGACTAGTCTCGTACCCAAATAATGACCATCAGATGAAACTGATTCTGACTCAGGCTTATCAAAGAATGATTTCTTCACAACTACTGTCTAAGAAATCATCATAGATTGACTGCCTGCTTGCCAAATCTAAAAGGATGCTTTCTAGTCCCTATCTTTATATTCCTACAGTGTTTCCTACTCCACAAATTTTGTCCTCCTTGAACTCTTTAGGACATCGTGTTCATGCTTTTCTTCCAAATTATCCAGCCCTTTGTCCTCAGTCTTCTTTGGCCACTCTGTAAAGGCTGGTATTCCCAGGCTTCCCATCATAAAATTCTCCCCCCCACACTCCCTAGGCTTACTTCATCCTTACTTGATAGATCTCAGATTTCATATCCAGCTTACACTTTTCTCTCCTGAGCTCCAATCCATATGTACCTGCCTTTAGATATATCTCTTAATGGTTTGCTCACAGATCCTCAAGCCCCAAATGTTCAAATCTTTCCTCTTGCTGTACTCTTATCTTAGTGACTGACATCAACACTGCCTCAGCCACCCCAGCTACCCAATCTGGGAGTCCTCCAACATGGCCTAGTAGCAACAATGTGTGGTATAAAAACACACTATTAACAGTCAACCTGAGTTCTATTGCTTATTAGCTATATGAGCTCAGACAATTAGAAACTTCTCCAAGGGGGCGCCTGGGTGGCGCAGTCGGTTCAGCGTCCGACTTCAGCCAGGTCAGGATCTCGCAGTCCGTGCGTTCGAGCCCCGCGTTGGGCTCTGGGCTGATGGCTCAGAGCCTGGAGCCTGTTTCCGATTCTGTGTCTCCCTCTCTCTCTGCCCCTCCCCCGTTCATCCTCTGTCTCTCTCTGTCGCAAAAATAAATAAATGTTGAAAAAAAAAATTTAAAAAAAAAAAAAAAAAAAAGAAACTTCTCCAAGCATTCTTTCCTGTCAAATGGAGATCTTGTTGTGAGGAGAAAATGTAAATAATAAACACAAATGTCTAACTGTGCTTGGAATATAAGCAAGGACCATTACCTTAATGGGCCTCAATAAATATGTCTCCTGTATCTTGACTCTGCTGTATTCTCTGTCCTCACTGCCACTCCTTTAGTTCTGAAACTTATTATTTGACATGATTAAAGCAATAACTGCCTCCCTATAAAGCAATTCATCTCTCCCTATAATAACTTCACTAAACCTCTCCCTCACCCCTCTTAATCCACTCCACTAGACCACAACACTCTACTCAAAATGCAAATCCAAACATGCTATTTATTTCCTTATTCAAAATCCTCCAATAGACCCCTTGCCTTAATAAATAGCCAAAGTTCAGGGCCCCTGGGTGGCTCAGTTGGTTAAGTGTCCAACTTCAGCTCAGGTCATGATCTCACAGCTCGTGAGTTCGAGCCCGACGTTGGGCTCTGTGCTGACAGCTCAGAGCCTAGAGCCTGTTTCAGATTCTATGTCTCCCTCTCTCTCTCTGCCCCTCCCCTGCTTACACTCTGTCTCTCTCTCTCAAAAATCAATGAACATTAAAAAAATTAAAATATATATATGTATATATATAGCCAAAGTTCTGACATTATAATTTGAGGTATTTGGTAGAGGCTTCATAAAGTTTGTTGCAAAAGCATTCAGATTTTAAAGTATACCAAACCTTTCCATTACATCAATTTTCCAAGTCCAAAATTACCTTGTGGGGATTTGTAAACCAGGTGATCCCATTTTACTAAAGCATAAACTATGCATACTTTGAAAAACTTAGCTGTATACTATTGATCTCATCCAAAATCTGGTTTTAATGTCCTAGAACATGCTATCCTTGGGTAGACAAGGATTGACTTAGCATCCCCTGCTCCCACATACCCAAACACCTGAATGGTTTTGAGCACAAATATCCGAATGTGTTCTCATACTGAGCTTAATATGATAAATATTCTACTTAGCCTAAAACATACCACTTGAATTCATCATATTTCATGATATAGTCTGAGGTTATCATTTTTAAGCTGATCTCCTTATGCCTAAAAGTCACAAAGGGTACTGATGAAATGTCCTGTATACTACCAATTTTCTACAAAAATAATTTTAAGGTCCTATCTGCTAAAGAAATTATCTCTTTTAGAGTAGAAAGCCCATCACAGATTAGTTTTTTATAGACAAATAAGAGCTTATATTAAGGGAGAAAATGAGTTAAAAAATCTTTGCCTATATGTGAATTTCTGTGCTGTATCTGGAGAAAAACCACTTACACTGATAAAAATTTCCTATCATATATTAGGTTTGAATACCAAAATAACATTTGACATTCACCTTACTCTTCATCAGTGTGTTGTTCTATTCATTCTCCAGCGTACAGATTCAATTAATTTCATTGCTTCAAATACCCCTTAATATAGAGCTCTCCAGAACAGGGATTTAAGATATGCTGATTAGAGAAAAACAGCATTATATTTACACTTACAAAATCTGAGTATCTACCATGCTGTGGTTAATTACATTCTATCTTGATTTAACTTTTTGGAAAAATCAGGTTTATGTAAGAATCAAACTTCTTGAGCAACTTTACTAGAATATAAAAGCTTACCTAACCAACTTCCTCCTCCCCAACCAACTCTCTGTTATTAGCCAATGTTCTCCATTTCTTCTATAAAACCTAAAACGTTGTAACGTCCACAAGTTATTCTCTAGTGTTCCCAAGCACTTCTCTTCCTAACAGCTGTGGAGTTAGTCATATTTATCACCAGACTTGATTATGCCAGCCATACTTACTATTGTAATTTTGATATTGTTAAATATCATGTTAGATTAAATTATTAAATAGATTTAAAAGATTTAAAAAGGAGAGCTGCTTCTATGAAAACTAAGTTGAATGCCTTGGAAAGACAATAAAGGCAAGTTCCTTTAAAAAAAAAGTCCTGCTTTTGGACTAGGGTCAAAATAAAAAGAAAAGAACATGGAATAAAAGGCAGTATACCCTCTTATGGAAGCAGAAAGAGAGACCACAGAAAAATACAATGTTTCTCTGGTTCTGGGATGAAGCAAGGTGTTACTTCCTTGGGAAAGTAGGAGATCTCCATAGGTTAGTCATGATTTAAATACGAACAGCAAGTAAGGTTTGAAAGATAAGGGAAGAAGAATAGAAGTGCATATAAAGCTGGTTCTTTTCAATCATGACGATTAAAAAGTTAGGGAAAGGTAGGGCTGGCTAGAAGCGAGAACTAATTCCAAAAAGCCAAATACCTTAAGTTGACACTGATGAACCTACGCTTGTTGTGCATTTTAGGTGAAGGAGAATCCAGGAAAAACAAAGTGGGATAGCAGTAACTAGACATTATACCACTTTTAAAGTTTTGTAATCATTGTGACACAAAGTTAAAATAACTTTCCAATAACATTCTTTACACTTTTGTGTAAAAACAGAAGTACCCAGGAACAGTACTTAGAAATAATTGAAACACTTGTAAATAATGTCTTTAATATTTTAAACATGAATCAAACAGAACATCAAGTGGTTTTTTAATACAGATTCAAGGCCACTCCAATTTAACTGCTTCAGAGAGCTACTGTCTAAGAAATCTTAACTCTATAAAATCACCAAATTTTATAGAGTGATATTTCAGTATCACTTTCTCAATTTACTCCCCACCGGGCACCTGCCTTTGGCTATTTGACAGTCAATGAACAGCAAAATTGGCTGCTGGGGAGGAAATGAAAAAATTCAAATAATCATCGCCTACCTCCATCTCTCCAAATACCACCCTCTTCACTACCACCAGTTCAGGGAAGGAAATAAAATTTAAAAATCTTCTGTGGGAGCTATTTGCTTGACTAGAGTCATTGCAGGGCTTTCTTGTTCAGCATCATATTACTGCACTTTAAATACATTTTAAATACTTATCTACATGAAATACAACTCCAGTGACTAGTAAATCTGGGAAAGAGTAGATAAGACACTTGAATTAGTTAAAACTTAGAGAAAGGAATTTCAACGTTATTATACTTAACTAGATAGGTCCTATTTTGTGTATATGAACAAAACTGCTACCTTTCAAAGTGCTGAAACATATTTAAATGTGTTAAATTTATTTTCTCCATCAGTATAAAGAAGAGCAAACGCATCCCAACTGTCCACATACAGTATATTGGTCTTTATGCATGATACAGTTTTCCAACACTTGAGCTAGAAGCTTTTATCATATCAATGCTAGGACACAAATTCCAGTTTAAAACATTTCTAAGCAAAAAAAAAAAAAAATCATTTTGGGCTATCAATGAAAAAAATTGAGGCTATTTGAGATTATGAGCAAAACTGTATGACATTTGACTTTGAGTTTGGATAGTCTAAATTTAAGTCTGCTGTGTTTAAAAACAAAGTTTTAATAAGGTAACTGAAAAAACTGCGTTCATTTTATGAAATTCTCAAAGTAAAATATCAGAATCACACGAGCTCCATTGTTAGAATTTCATATGGTTTTGGGGCACCCGGGTGGCTCAGTCATTTAAGCATCTGACTCCATCCAGCGCACGTCATGATCTAGCAGTTCATGAGTTCAAGCTCTTCGTTTGGCTCTGTGCTGACAGCTCAGAGCCTGGAGCCTGCTTCGGATTCTGTGTCTCCCTCTCTCTCTGCCTCTCCCCTGCTTGTGCTCTCTTTCTCAAAAAAAAAATAAATAAATAAAAATTTAAAAAATGAAAAAAAAAAAGAATTTCACATGATTTTGACATTTAATTGGTCTGGTTATCAGTGTTCAGAAAATATGCATGAAGATGCTTCCCACTTTGGGAGAGCTGTAATACTTCAAAACAGCCTCACAAAAGAGCTCCTAGCGAGGTTTCTCGGAGGCAAGTATCCGCCCTAACCAGTGAGTTATTCCAATAGACTTTAAGCAAAATTCCCACATAACTTCCTAGATTATGCTTTTCCTCAAAACTGTTTTACATTCACCTTGCTGACAATTTCCTCTAACACTCCTGGCAAGGTCAATCAAAAGATGTGCAAGATCGATATTTTACTTTTTAAACTTTGCTATAACTGAATTATACCAATAAGACTTAAGTTGTCTTCATAAGTAATATTCCACTTAGTGGGATAAAATCACACTTAGTGTTATCCTTGGGTTTTCCTCTTCACTCTCCCTTATTCTCTCCTGGATATCCTAAAGCATCAGAAAAAGAAAACCCATGTGTGAAAGGATTTACTCTTAAGAACAGTGCACTCTTTATTGCACAGTTCTCAGGATAGAAAGTATTTTAAATATATTACAATATCTTGTATAGTCTCTAAAAGGAAGCTAACAAAATGATTTAAAATGTTTCTTTCTACCTATGTGTACTGGATGAGAAACTTTCCCTGAAATCTTTACTTGTATAATCTATCTGTATTGATAATATTGAAACTGCATTCAATGTACAATAACTCTTCTCAAAGTTGACTTTTTAATACATATATGGAATCCATTAGTTCAACAGAAAATACTTAACAGAATTCAAAGATATTTCAGGCTTATTTCCTTAATGACCAATGTTGATTACATGTCAAAATATCAAAGGTTCAGCTGTTGAGTGTTAGGATTCTTCAGTTTTACTTAAAAAAATCTGTCTATATGGAAAAGGGCATTTGAGTGCTTTCCAACGGACTACCACTTCAACAATAAACCTGGCTCAATTTTCTGGCTCATTATTCACTTGGAGAGAATATCAAGTTGGAGAAAACAGATCAGAAATATATGTAATATACTAGTCAAGTTTCAGTCAGGATTCCTTATGTATGTTAATAACCTACTTTTCATGAAATGGCCAGAATTCTAAACAAGATTTCATATTTTGATCATGTAACGACTTGCCTCAGTAGGAAACTAAAGTGGTCCATGGAGTCTGGAGTTTGTTAAATTCATCAGTAGAAGCAAATTTTATTAACTTTCCAGGACAATGCAAAAACAAACACTGAAGAGCTCCTCTGTGTTTATACATTGAATAAAAATTTATTCATATACTCTTACAAGATAATGTACACAAACATCGGTATAATTACAACTTCACACTCACCAAAACGATACCAGGTTGACCAGCAAAGTCACTGGGAAAGCATCTGCTTACACTGATCTATTTACAGATTCATACCAAAAATGTTTGTGTAATTATTTTAATATGACAATGCTTTAAGTGTTCACTCATTCAAGATCAAACCCATTTCCATTTAAATATCTTTTTTAAAGTTGTATCTGGATCAGTAAGCAGTTCTTTAAACACTATTGTTTTAATACCTAGCTTTTATTGGCCAAAACACACTATTTGCAATTTGCCTTCCTTGGGAGAAAAAAATTCAAAGATTTAAAAACTGTGAAGGGAAAGCAGCTTGTTAACCAAAAATAGGACCAAGACCAGGAGAAAAATGTGGTATCCGAAGCGGGGCAGGGGAGGGAAGGGGGAGGGGAACCAGAGAACATGAATTATTAATGTAATCTAATACGATTTTCATACCGGACCTCTATCGCTGTGCATCTAGGTTTGTATTTCTCTAAAGGGAAGCTGGCTGCACTCTCATCAGCCCGCCAAATTAAGCTTGAAAAGGAAGACATTTTAAGATGTTACGTGGGTAAGAGGTACTGTTAAAAGGGGCTCTCTCAGTTTTAGTCACCTTCAGGCTGATCCTGTAAGTCAAAACTGCCGAAAATGTGATCGTAAGCTGACAGCTGCTCTGCTGAGCGCAGTGCAGGAAACGTCTCAGCGATTTCAAAGTTAGGGATCTAGCTAGCATACGTGTAATAGGCAGTAAGGTGAATAATGTGTCTATTCCCTCTTCCGCAAGTTCTGGGAATCTTACTAGGTGGTTCTAGAAAGGCAAACGTCGAAAGTACAGAACAAAACCTTAAATTTCTGTTCGCTGTCACGGATTTGTTCCTTCTCGGCTATCATAAAAGTCTTCGCACTATATCATCAGGTCTATCGTGTGTGAAGACCCAGTGACTCAACACTGCTCTCCCCGACTCTTGTTTCGGAGAAGAAAGGGGTTAACGCTAATTTATATCTAACCTGAGTACGTAAAATTGAGACAAAAGTGCTACTAATCGTCGGCTGTGAAAATAAAAACCAACGTCCTTACTTCTCGCTTCCTTTTCTTCTCAAAGAGGGAGGACCACACTCATTAGAGCAATAAGGCTTTTTCCGAAAGACTTGTCCAACTTGTACCAAGTTCAAAAGGAGTCAAGGATTGCTGAGAGAGCAGACCAGCCCCGCTGTCCTATCGGGAGAGCTCTGCTACTAACCCGAAGGCAGTCCGCGAGCGGAGCCGGAGACTGAGCGGCCGCCGCACCGCCGGGTGGCCCCGGAGCCGGCGCCCGTGGCCGGGCTGCTCCCGCCCTCCCCGCTCCCCCCGCTGGCTCCGGCGGCCCCGCTACCCCGCGCCCCCGACGCCCCCGACCCGGCGCCGCTCCGCCTCCTGCGTCCGCCTCCTGCGCCGCGTCGCCGGCTCCTAGGTCTGTGGGTCCCGGCCGACGCACCACTTACCCGCCGCGATGAGATTTACGTAGCGGACCTCGTCACTGATTACGGACGGGAGGAGGTGGAGACGGCGAGCCCGACCGCCGCTCAGGAGCAACCCGGCGCCGGCGCCGGCCCCACGTCGCCCCCACGTCAGCTCTGATGCGGCAGCCGCGGCCTCCCTGCCGAGCCGGGACCAAAAGTAGCGCAGCAGCCGACCGGACCGCGTCCTCGCGCCCCGCCCTCCCTTCCCCCACTCCACGACTGCTTCCCCGGGGACGCCCGGCGGAAAAATCCAAGCTCGAACTCTGCCCCCTGCTGGCCGCCAGCGGGAGTGCAGCGCTGACAATCCAACAATTAAATGGAACGGAGGGAGTGGGGAGGGGAATGAAGGGCCAGGGGGCGGGGCCTAAGTGGTAGTGCGGTAGGGAGGCGGGGCCTAAGGGTGGAGAGGAGGACTAGGTTGGGGGGGCGGGGCCGGAGGAGGAACTAGGCTGCCCCGGGAGGAAGACCCAGTCCAGGGCAGGGCCTGAGGGGTTGGAAGCCGGAAGCTGCCCCGCCGCGCGTGCGCCGGAAGCCTGGTTAATTACAAACTAAGCTAACGGCCGTGCTGGGTTCTCGGCTTCGAGGTCTCTTGTTCTCTGGGCTGCGGCCTAGAGCGTCTCCCATCCCAACCCAAGCTGAGGTACGCTGGCGTTGTGGGTCTTTACCGGCCAGAGGCGCTTCCTGCGGATTCCCGGGGCTGCTGAGCGGACACCTGGAGCGTCCCCACTCACACGCTCCTGCAGCGTCTGCCATTCTGAAAGACGCTTTTAGGTCCTGGACTTGAGCTTTCTGGGAAACCCAGCTGGCTTGTTCTCAGACTACTGCCGCCTCAACAGTGACTTTGTGCGTCAGTGTCGTGGAGAAACAGCGACAGTCCCCACTTGGAGATGTGACAGAGGAAAGGAAGGCTTTGGGTGACAAGCAAAAATCCCTGCCTTTAAAAAGAGGAGAGTTTAGTTTTCATCCAGTGGAAACCGAGGGCTTTCCAGTAAGAGGAACGTTGGTTGCTGACCCGTTATAAACTAGGAACCCACTTACGCATACTCAGAACGTACTGAATTGTAAGTCTGAGTAAGCCCTCAGAAATGGAGGCTTTGTAGCCTATAGATAAGTCTCTTTACATTAAGGAAAAACGAATTCAAACAATGATTACCACCCAACTTTATAGTACTCAGGAATGTGTCATGCCCAAAGCCAGTGTCAAGGACACCACTTGAAAAGTTGCTGAGAAAAAAAAAATCTGTCAACGTAGAGCAGGTAGAAAAGGGAAGCTTTGTGAAATATTACAATCCCCGTAGAGTGGGAGAAAATTCTGAACTGTCTTCACTGCCAGTTTTTGGCCAACCTGAACTACTTTCAGCTGTAATGCATACTAACAGAAATAAGAGGAAAACCTGGTAAGTTCACTTCCTCCTATTGATATAAGCAGAATTCTGAAGTTCCTCCTTGCAGTATAGTAGATAAAGCCCATCACCACCTGATAAATAGTAATTTCTTAAGGAACACTAGCGAGTTTACAAATTAAATTTACAAAACAACCAAGTCTGTAGTTAGACAAGGCTGGCACTGAATATTTATGCATCCATAATACAGCTCATTTTAGCTTGGGGGAGGGTCATTAGAAGGGAAGGAAATAAAAAAGGATTACCAAATCCTCAAAATCATACCATTCATTGTGGTCAAGGTTGACCAGTGCAAGATGAATGGATTTTTAGCTACAAGTGATTGAGGGGAAATTGTGATCATTCTTTCCCAGAACATTGTTCTCCACCTACTTGTTTGTTCCTAAATTTCTTTAACAAAGTACACATTCTAAAGGGCTTAAAATGGGGGTGCCTGGGTGGCTCAATCCCTTAAGCCTCTGACTTCAGCTCAGGTCATGATCTCATAGGCTCTTGAGTTCAAGCCCCACATCCCCGCATCCAGCTCTGTGCTGATAGCTCAGTGCATAGAGCATGCTTTGGATTCTGTGTCTGACTCCCCCCTGTGATCCTCCCCCACTCACACTGTCTGTCGGTCTGTCTCTCAATAAAATGAATAAAGGGCTTAAATGTAAGAATTAGTGGTAAAGCAACATACACTAAGATGTAAATGTCAAATCCTTCTTGAGAGTACCTGCTTTTGAGAACAGGAGAGTACCTGGGATCTGAAAAGAGAGGGCATGACATAGCAGTGGGGAAGGTACATGCAATTTCCTAGTGCTGCTATTTGAAATTACCACAAACTTACTTAAAACAACACATTTATTATCTAACAGTCCTATAGTACTCAGGAATGTGTCATGCACAAAGCCAGTGTCAAGGACACCACTTGAAAAGTTGCTGAGAGGGGTGCCTGGGTGGCTCAGTCGGTTAAGCATCCGACTTCGGCTCAGGTCACGATCTCACGGTATGTGAGTTTGAGTCCTGCGTCGGGCTCTGTGCTGACTGCTCAGAGCCTGGAGCCTGTTTCAGATTCTGTGTCTCCCTCTCTCTCTGACCCTCTCCCGTTCATGCTCTGTCTCTCTCTGTCTCAAAAATAAATAAATTTAAAAAAAAATTTTTTTAGAAAAGTTGCTGAGAAAAAAAAATAAACATCTCAATGGGCTAAAGTCAAGGGGTTGTGGGCTCCAGGGAAGAGTCCATGTCCTTGCATTTTTCATCTTCTAGAGACCACCCACATTCCCTGGGTCATGACTCCTTTTCTCCATCTTCAAAGCCAGCAACAACTGGTTCTTTCTCATGCTGCCATCTCTCTGATTCTCTTGCGTCCCAGTTCTCTTTGGTAGAACCACTGGGCCCACCCTGATGATCCAGGATAATCTTCCCGTATCAAAATCAGCTGATCAGCTGCTTAATTCTATCTGTAATACAGTTTAATTCTACCTGTAACTTTGCCATGTAATCTGACATGTTCATAGGTTAACAGTGATTACAATGTAGACATTTTTGGGGAGTAGGAGCATCATTCTGCCTACCCAAAGTGAAGGATTCTAAAAGAAGCTTGAGCTCTGAGACAAATCACCTGCCTCTCAGGGGTATCCCTTTCAAATAATTCAAACATTTCATTAGAAATGCCAAGAGCTGATTTTTCAGGGTTTTTTTTTGTTGTTGTTGTTGTTGTTTTGTTTTGTTTTTTACATAAGATAAAGATAGAAAAATTTTAATGGGATATCAGGGATAAAAAAGAGCAGGTTATGAAGACATAAGTTTTAAAACAGGAAGAATAATAGTACCTACTTCTTTGCATTGTTACAAAGATTAAATAAAGTATCTACCATAAAGTGTGTGCTCAATAAAAAAAAAAAAAACAGCCATTTTTATATTGGTCTAGTGTCTAAATGTTTGGGTTCCTCACCTAGGCAATATTTAATTCTCTGTTGAGGAGAAACAACTAGAGCAACTACTTTCCTGAGAAAGTACGGGCTGTCAGTCACACCCAAATACTCCCTCTTCCCCTGAAAATCTCTTAAATTATCCCTCCCTTTGTGAGTCAGGAGGAACACCTCCTTCCAAATACAGTTGTAAGATAAGTGTCATTTTTTTTTGATGTTTACTGTTTTGTTTTTTATTTTTTTATTTTAGAGAGAGAGGCAGTGATGGGGCATAGGGAGAGAGAGAGAATCTTAAGCAGGCTCCAAGCTCAGCACAGAGCTTGATCCAACAACCATGGGATCATGACCTGAGCTGAAATCAAGAGTTGGATGCTCAACTGACTGAGCCACCACACCACTCCAAAATAGGTGTCTTTTCTTTCCCATATTGTACCTTTATTCTCTCTCTTCCTCTTAGCTCCTTCTCCTCTCCCTGCAAATGTGTTCATATCTTGCCTCTACTTGAAAACTGTTGACACTGCTTTTCCCAGAAGGAAGACTACAGAGTTTCTAGCTCTAGGGTGCACGTTCACATAACATTTTTTTGCCCAGATGGTTGTTGATCCAGCTCTTGCCAATCCTCTCGCTATCAGAATTCTCAAGAATAGAAAGCACTTGCTATTTTCACTTCCTTACCACCTACTCATTTCTTATTTCCTGGCTGTCTGATTTTTGCCCTCTTTCTCCCTTCTTTCTGATTAGAGAATCTGAAACTTTTTTTTACATTTTTCATCCTCCTTGACCTCTTTTCCTAATTAATACTACCTTCTTAAGGTCTCCCCCCACCTCTGAATTTCCATGACATTTGACTCTCTTGGCTTCACTCACCTTTGTTTCTCTAAATGCAGATAGTTCTGAATTTTCTGCCCTTGATCATTTGCTTCTACATCATCCTCCTTATTTCATCATTCCCATTTCTGTTGGAAAGGAAATTCCCAAAGTTATACCTCAAGCTCCCAGCTTCTCTTCCTAGCACCAAATCATATTTCCATCTATCTGATAGAAGTTTCACTTACACTTACCTATGATCATTTCTAACTCAATAGATTCAAAACTATATCATCTTCCCTTTCCATTCTTGAACATTGTTTTTATTTCAACAATGTAGCAGCACTTTTCAGTTCCCGGTCATCCTGCCTTTAAATCATGGAGTCATTTTGGTCATTGTATACTCTTATCATTGAGGATCCATTTAGTTTATAATTTAAAGAGCCTGCTATGTTCTAGGTCCTATGCTAACGCCAATCCTATTGCTTTCATGTGTAGAAATTTGCATCCATCCTTTCCTTCTCATTCCCACTATGACCAGTGTGACTGAGGTCATCCTTGCCTCCAATATAGTTCTTCTTAAATATTTCTATCTGGTTCATTTTCCCAATACATGGCTCTTGTGATTTCTCTTCTTAAAAATCCTGAATGATTAAGAGGGACTGGGACTTAAGGAGTCAAAGGTGGAAAGCAGATTGAGTTCCTTTTGTTGGCCTCTTGAATTTTCTGCTACATGCATGCATTACATATTCTAAAAATATAAAATTTTAATTAAAGCAAAAAAGTCAGTGAGATCTTACTGGCTGAGTCCAAATATCTTAGTTTGGCATAAAGCCCTTGATGATCTGAGTCCAACTTAGGTATACAGGCCTATTCCATGTTAGTCCTTTGTGTTTTATACCACACTGCTTCTTAATACCTTGCTGCACATCAGAGTCATGTGAAAAACTTGTTGAAAAGATGTTCCTAGGCCATAGGCCCTACCTGTTGACTTACTGAGTC